GTACGCTGCGCATCAGCTCAACCTTTGGCCCCGTGTCTCCTTGCCGGAGACCTCGCCCACACTGCGTTGGACAGGGAAGGTTGGCGATGCATCGGTGTTCCGGGTCTGGGGCTCTCATGCCTTTGTCCGCGATACGTCCGCGGACAAGCTCTCCGCCCGCGCTATTCCCTGCGTCTTCCTTGGCTTTGTCCCTGATGCGCCTGGCTGGCAGTTTTACCACCCCGCCTCGCGCCGTGTCCTCCCTTCTCAGGACGTCACGTTCGACGAGTCGGTTCCCTTCTACCGTCTCTTCCCCTACCGCTCTGCCCCTTCCCCGCCCCCGCCGCTTTTTCTTGCTCCCGGTCCGCCTCCGGTAGACCCCCTCCCGCCCCAGGGTCCTGCTCCCTCGGGAGTGTCTCAGGTAGACCCTCTCCCTGGTACTGTGCCTGTTCAGGTAGCTGTCGTCTCAAGTGCTGCTCCAGGTGCTGCGTCTGGGGGTGCTGCGTCTAAGGGTGCGGAGCCGGGGGGTGCGGGGTCTGAGGGTGCTGGGTCTGGGGGTGCTGAGCCTGAGGGTGTTGAGCCTGGGGGTGCTGAGTCGGAGGGTGCGGAGCCTGAGGGTGCTGAGTCGGAGCGTGCGGAGTCTGGGGTTGCTGAGCCTCGGGGTGCTGCTTCGTCTGGAGGTCCTGCTGGTGCTTCACCGCGACTGTCCTCGCAGCAGCTGCGTGAGTGGCTTGTTCAGCGCGCACACTGTTGGAGTGGGGCTCCCAGAGCAGGCGAGCCTGGAGGCGCTGGAGCTGGAGGTGCTGCTGTTACTACTGGAGTTGGAGACCCTACGGAGCCTGGAGCAGCTAGCGCTGGAGGTGCTGGAGCTGGAGTAGCTGGAGTTGGAGGCCCTGGCGCAGGAGGCGCTGGAGCTGGAGGAGCTGGAGCTGTTGACCCTGGTGCTGGAGGTGCTGGAGGCACTGTGCGGCCGCGCCTGTACTTCGTTCCCCTGCTTGAGCAGGTTCTTGGTGTCCCGTTTTCTACTGGTCTTCCTCCTCCCTTCCTGTGTCCACCGCCTGACCAGTCGCAGCCACCGTTACAGCCAGCCTCCCCACTGCCTGTTCCCTCTCCTTACACTGAGCAGTTCGGAGGTCTTACAGAGCGTCGTGAGCCTGCGTCTCGTCCTGTCTCACCTGTTCGCACTGCTCGTCGCGCTCCTCGTTCGCGTCCTCCCCCTGTCCCAGGCACGCACACCATGGCACTCCGTCCTTCCTCTATTCCAGTGCGTGTTCCTCTGCCTACTCCTCCTGGGTCCTCTCTTCCTGAGGTCCCTGACCCTGAGTCTGACCGAGCGCGTGCTGCCAGTCCCACTGTCGCTCGTGTCCTTGCCACTGCTGTCACTGACCCGTCCTTTGAGTCTGCTGCTGCTTCTGCTCTCGTTGCTGAGCTACTTGACTTTGCTGCTGCCTGCCGTCTCGACTACGCCTCTGCTCTAGTTGCTGAGTCTGTGCCTGCCAGTCCTCCGTCCGTCGGGGGTGAGTGTACTCTTGGCACGGACGTCCTTGAGGACAGGCAGGAGGACTTTGAGTGTCTTGCAGCTGCTGTACCTCGTTTCGCCTCCTTGCTGCTTGCCCCTGAGGGAGACCCGGATGCTCCAGACATCCCGACCCCGCGCTCTTACGCAGAGGCGATTACGGGTCCTTACTCCTCTCAGTGGCAGGCAGCTATGGATGCCGAGATGGCATCCTGGAAGTCCACAGGCACTTACGTCGACGAGGTTCCCCCACCTGGGGTGAACATAGTCGATGGCATGTGGATCTTCAGGGTGAAGCGGCCGCCGGGTTCTCCGCCTGCCTTCAAGGCGCGTTACGTTGCTCGAGGTTTCAGTCAGCGACAGGGAGTTGACTACTTCCAGACCTTCTCCCCCACCCCGAAGATGACTACTCTTCGGGTGTTGCTGCACGTAGCTGCTCAGCGTAACTACGAGTTACACTCCCTGGACTTCAGTACCGCCTTCCTGCAGGGCAGCCTGCACGAGGAGATCTGGCTGCGCCGACCACCCGGTTTCACTGGGTCGTTTCCTACAGGTACCCAGTGGAGCCTCCGCCGGCCAGTCTACGGTCTCCGCCAGGCGCCTCGCGAGTGGCACGACACACTCAGGACTACACTTGCGGCTCTTGGGTTTGTTCCTTCTACAGCAGACCCGTCGCTGTTTCTACGCACCGACACCTCGCTGCTGCCCTTCTACGTCCTAGTGTACGTCGACGACCTCGTCTTTGCCACGACTGACACTGAGGCACTGACCCTAGTGAAGTCCGAGCTGCAGAAGAGACATACCTGCACTGACCTGGGTGAACTGCGCAGCTACCTTGGCCTGCAGATCACCCGGGATAGAGCACGGCGCACCATCACACTGACTCAGTCACACATTGTGCACCAGGTCCTTCAGCGCTTCGGCTTCCAGTACTCCTCGCCACAGCTCACTCCTCTGTCTACCAGCCACTCGCTCTCAGCTCCACCTTCGGACGAGTCCGTAGAGCCGAGTGGTCCGTACCCAGAGCTTGTGGGTTGCCTCATGTACCTGATGACTTGCACACGACCTGACCTCGCGTACCCTCTCAGCCTTCTGGCTCGCTACGTGGCTCCCGGTAGGCACCGAAAGGTGCACTGGGATGTTGCGAAGAGGGTACTGCGTTACCTGTGCAGTACGTCGGGCATGGGGCTTGTGCTTGGAGGACGGGGTCCTGTTGTCCTCACTGGTCACGCAGACGCCTCCTGGGTTGACGACTCAGCTACGCAGTGGTCGTCGCAGGGTTACACCTTCAGCCTTGGGTCCGGCTCGGTTTCTTGGCGGTCTACCCGCTCGTCTTCAGTTCTCAGCTCCAGCTGTGAGGCTGAGATCTACGCCGGAGCCATGGCTGCTTAGGAGCTACGCTGGCTCACCTACTTGCTGACCGACTTGGGAGAGCAGCCTCGTTCGCCTCTAGTCCTGTACGTAGACAACAAGGCCATGATAGCCTTGTGTCAGGAGCACAGAACGAAGCACATCGCTCTGCGATACTTCCTTGCTCGAGAGTTTCAGCAGCGTGGTCAGCTTCGTCTAGCGTACGTGGCCACTCGGGCCAACACTGCTGATGTCTTCACCAAGGCACTTCCGCCTGGTGACCATCAGCGCTTTGTTACTGTGTTAGGCCTTGTGCCTACTTTGCCTCACTTACTTACTGCCTTGTGACTCTGCCTGTACTGTGATCTATCTATATACCTGCATGCTTGCACTTGTTAGGGTATGATCACTGTATTGTTTGTTCTCTGTATATAATTCTGCATGTGAACTGGCCTTGTGGCCCTTTGCTTGTGCTCGGACTGTGTGGTGACTTTGTGATCCACCCTGAGCTTGCTTTGCCTTTCTTGACTGGTCTTGTGACCATTACTCGTTCTGGCTATCCCCCACTTCGCCTATGGGGGTGTGTCAAACATATATGCTTAGTTATATCTAGGCTTAGTTCATGTGTTTACATTTGTCTAGGCTATAGTGGGTTTAGCCTTAGGGGGTACAGAATTCTCTCGACATTCTACTTGTACCCTTCCTTGCTTCCTAGTCAATCATTCTCGCCTAAGATTCTAACACCCGCCCCATTTGCCACGTCACACCCCCCCACCCCAAGCCACGTCATCCACAACCCTCACCTTAAACGCCTCGTCTCGTCATGCGCCGCTCCCTTGTACCCATCCCAGCTGCCACGTCATCCCCAACCCTCACCTTCCGCCACGTCACACCCTCCTGCATCCGCCACGTCCACCAACAACCCGCCCCACTTGCCACATCACACCCCCCTACCACAAGCCTTGTCACCCCCCACCCACCTGACACGCCTCGCTTCGTCATGTGCCGCTCACGTGTGCCTTTTCAAACCGCCACGTCATCCCCAACCCTCACCTTCCGCCACGTCACACCCTCCTGCATCCGCCATGTCCACCAACAACCCGCCCCACTTGCCACGTCACACCCCCCTACCACAAGCCACGTCACCCCCCACCCACCTGACATGCCTCGCCTCGTCATGCGCCGCTCACGTGTGCCCTTTCAAATTGCCACGTCATCCCCAACCCTCACCTTCCGCCACGTCACACCCTCCTGCATCGGCCACGTCCACCAACAACCCGCCCCACTTCCCACGTCACACCCCCCCACCCCAAGCCACGTCATCCCCAACCCTCACCTTCCGCCACGTCACCCTCCCCCACCCCAAGCCACGTCACCCCCCACCCACCTAACACGCCTCGCCTCGTCATGCGCCGCTCCCTTATACCCTCCAAAACCGCCACGTCATCACCAACCCCGCCCTGGTTGCCACGTCAACCCCAACCCGCCCCATTTGGCCCGCCACATACCGGGAATGGGTTTGTCTCCTGCAACACTAGCACTCGTGCCTTCTCCATGGCACTCATCGGCGGCGGGATACCTTTCATATGCACCACTACGGACCCCCCAGCATAACTGGCAGGTGCTCCACGACGCAGGCCGAGCTGAGCAAACATGGCGTACATCTCAGACCATAGCGCCTGGAACTCCTCCCGTGTAACAAACTGCTCGTGCTCCGCACTTTCACCTAGGGCACCCAAGAGCGGGGGAAAAGGGTGTGAAGAATCCCCCTTCTGGCCAAGGGGATCAACGTCTTCTGCAGCAGTCCCGTGTGCCCTCACACTATCACGCTGGCGGGAAAAGGGCAGCTCAGGGAAGGGATTGGCAGAAGTGCTTGGCCCTTGGCCGCGCGAAGGACCGGCGAGGGGGGAGACGGCCCTGCCCCAGACAGGAGAAGCGTGGAGCTGCCGAAATGGGTATGTGGGTGAGGCGAGCGGGGAGTGCGTGACGTGGCCTAGTGGAGGGGATTCGGATTCCTCTCCTCTTGGTGCGCCGGGTGCACTGGCAGCGACTTTAGACGGGCCGGAGTATGGCGTGTAGAACCTTGGGGCTCCTGTGGATAGCGGGGTAACACTCGCTCTTCCGGCCCCCTTCGTTAGCTGCATCCGTTGCACGCTTACCGGTGGCCCAATGCCCGTAACACGAGGGGCTGAGATTTATAGGGAGCAGGAGCACAAAATTAGAGTCGATTAGTTTCAATACAGGGGCACAAATGCTTGCGTACGATCAGCGTTTTGAATTTAAATCGGGTTAAAACAGTTACTGTTTTGTAACAAGAGGCCTTACCTTGCTTTGCAGATTCGTCGACCATCTCCTTCCCTGCAGGGGAGAAACAATGTGAAGAAATGTGTTAATTGGCACGGTTGAGAAGAGAGTTCAGCAGCCACGCCATGTGTATGGGCCACAGTGCTTACCTTTCAGCTGTCCCTTCGGTTTTCTTGCTGCCTACGCCTTCTCGTTGCCACCTTTCTGCAGGGTGCTTTGGCGGCCGCTGCGACGTTTACTGGCTGGTTCTTTGTTGCCGGAACCCACTGGAACCCCTTTGGCGCGGCCGCCATCCCCTTTTGATCCCTGGCTCCCTTGCTTCTTACCAACTCCTTCGCTTTTGACCTTCATTTTACGCGTCTTCGGTTTGCCCGCTGCTTCGCCACGTGGGGCGTCACCCGCCCCGCGTTTTCGGGAATGGTGAGTCCGGGCCCCCACCTTCCCTGTACCACTTCCCCGTCTGCCTCGCCTGCCCCGTCCTTTCACTGCCGCCACATCCTCCTCCTCCTCCTCCTCCTCCTCCTCCTCCTCCTCCTCCTCCTCCTCCTCCTCCTTCTCCTCCTCCTCCTCCTCCTCCTCCTCCTCCTCTTCCTCCTCCTCCTCCTCCTCCTCTTCATACTCCTCCTCCTCCTCCTCCTCCTCCTCCTCCTCCTCCTCCTCCTCCGCCTCCTCCTCATCCTCGTCGCCCCCCTCCTCGTCCTTCTCCTCCTCCTCCTCCTCTTCGTCCTCCTCATCATCATTCTCATCCTTTTCTTCCTCCCCAACCTCCGCATCCTCCTCCTCCACATCCTCTTCATCCTCCTCTTCCTCCGCATCCTCCTCCTCCTCAGCCTCCTCCTCCTCATCCCCCGCATTCCCCTCATCTTTCTTGCCCCTCCTTCCGCCGGATGTTCTCTTCGCTGCGGGTCGGCCCTGCTTGCGCAATGCATGACCCGTCGCCTGGCCACTTGCTTCCCTGGCGCCTCGCGTTGTCCCAACTTCCGCACCACCGGTGTCGTCAGCACCGCGGCTTGTCTGCCGCCTCTTCGACCGCGTATTGATGTCCCCGGGCACGGCGGTGTCATACTCTTCTTCCCCATCGCTCTTCCTCTGCCTACGCCTCCCACGTCCACCAGAAGGAGGAGAGCCACCTACGTCGGAGATGCTGTGTTCCCCCGCCTTGGCCTTATCCACCACGGCAGCAGAAACTTCGACCACGGTCGGCTGGAGCAGCGTCAGTCCGTGTTGGGATGCCTCCGCCTCGGACTCCTGGGTTGCGCCATGCTCGGCGCGGGGAGAGTCGCCGTGGTTTCCCCCTGTCGCCGACCCCTCTCTCTCCGCCGACGGGACTGCAAGACTCACGCTCCCTGTGGCAGTAGTAGCAGTCTTCTCCTCTTCCGCCTTCTTGCCGGACTTCTCCTGTCCAAACGCGGCCTTTTTTCCCGCCAATTTTTTCACCACTCTACCACGCACGGCGGACGCATTAGTACCTTTAGAGCCGCCACCACCCTCCCTATTGGTTTGTTGAGACAGCCTCCTTGTCGCGCGACGTCCGGCCTGTTCCTCCTCCTTTTCTTTTTGCCGTGTTGCACGTGTCATGTTTGTTTTACGAATGCGAATTTGCGAATTCTGTCATCTCTCTCCGAAAACCTCCGCCTTCAATCAATACTGACATAGTAGTCAGCAGGAGCTCCGGCCCATGACTTAGTCGACTGGTACTACCTAACACGGGCGATCTAGAAACGCCTGTGTCAAACATCGAGCAGCGTCAAAGTTGTGGGCCAGAGGGTGACGGAAGCAGGTGGGTGGGGCACGAGGGTGGTTGGGGTGGCTTCCGCGACTAGAGAGATTACTGTAATCAGATCAGGCTAGATCAAACGGTGTACGTGTAGCCACCCGATCATAAACCCACCCACCGCTCGATCACAGTCGCTCAATGGTGGAAGTACCGCTTGGCGGGTGCTTGTGTTGCGGGAGGGGTCGTTTGAGATGCGTCGGCCAATCAGTGTCGCCAACGCACAAATGAATTGTCGTGCTGGAACTGTTTTTGAACCAATTGAGTGAAAGCAACCTAAACCCTGCAAAGTACAGTGATGTCGCGAACGAACAATGTTGCACATACGAGCTAAATAACATTTAAAACTACAACAAATACAAAAAAAACAAAAAATAGGGTGCTAATATAATAGTCTGGGGTTGAGGTAAGGGAGTGGGTTTGTATAATGTCACACACACAAAGAGTATCCAGAAATATTACTTGATACAATTTAACTGAGCACTATTACGCTATGCCACAATGGTTACGCGTCGCTGTACGAAATCTAACACGTTTTTCAATAGTGCCGACATGGTGAAATCGTCGTGGTATGGTGTTGGATTGGGCTCAATTCTCGCATGGACCTTATAAAATGTGCATAAAGAGAGTGGTATGAAGGACACGGCTAACGCACAAGCGGTGATGCGTTATCGACAGCCATGTTCAGACAGGGCGACGCTGCATCGTCCAGGCCCATGTTTTGCGCGACATGGTGAAACCGTTGTGGTATGGTGTTGGATTGGGCTCAATTCTTGCATGGACCTTATAAAAGGTGCATAAAGGGAGTGGTATGAAGGACAGGGCTAACGCACAAGCGGTGATGCGTTATCGACAGCCATGTTCAGACAGGGCGACGCTGCATCGTCCAGGCCCATGTTTTGCGCGACATGGTGAAACCGTTGTGGTATGGTGTTGGATTGGGCTCAATTCTTGCATGGACCTTATAAAAGGTGCATAAAGGGAGTGGTATGAAGGACAGGGCTAACGCACAAGCGGTGATGCGTTATCGACAGCCATGTTCAGACAGGGCGACGCTGCATCGTCCAGGCCCATGTTTTGCGCGACATGGTGAAACCGTTGTGGTATGGTGTTGGATTGGGCTCAATTCTTGCATGGACCTTATAAAAGGTGCATAAAGGGAGTGGTAGGTATGAAGGACAGGGCTAACGCACAAGCGGTGATGCGTTATCGACAGCCATGTTCAGACAGGGCGACGCTGCATCGTCCAGGCCCATGTTTTGCGCGACATGGTGAAACCGTTGTGGTATGGTGTTGGATTGGGCTCAATTCTTGCATGGACCTTATAAAAGGTGCATAAAGGGAGTGGTAGGTATGAAGGACAGGGCTAACGCACAAGCGGTGATGCGTTATCGACAGCCATCTTCAGACAGGGCGACGCTGCATCGTCCAGGCCCATGTTTTGCGCGACATGGTGAAACCGTTGTGGTATGGTGTTGGATTGGGCTCAATTCTTGCATGGACCTTATAAAAGGTGCATAAAGGGAGTGGTATGTATGAAGGACAGGGCTAACGCACAAGCGGTGATGCGTTATCGACAGCCATGTTCAGACAGGGCGACGCTGCATCGTCCAGGCCCATGTTTTGCGCGACATGGTGAAACCGTTGTGGTATGGTGTTGGATTGGGCCCAATTCTTGCATGGACCTTATAAAAGGTGCATAAAGGGAGTGGTAGGTATGAAGGACAGGGCTAACGCACAAGCGGTGATGCGTTATCGACAGCCATGTTCAGACAGGGCGACGCTGCATCGTCCAGGCCCATGTTTTGCGCGACATGGTGAAACCGTTGTGGTATGGTGTTGGATTGGGCCCAATTCTTGCATGGACCTTATAAAAGGTGCATAAAGGGAGTGGTAGGTATGAAGGACAGGGCTAACGCACAAGCGGTGATGCGTTATCGACAGCCATGTTCAGACAGGGCGACGCTGCATCGTCCAGGCCCATGTTTTGCGCGACATGGTGAAACCGTTGTGGTATGGTGTTGGATTGGGCCCAATTCTTGCATGGACCTTATAAAAGGTGCATAAAGGGAGTGGTAGGTATGAAGGACAGGGCTAACGCACAAGCGGTGATGCGTTATCGACAGCCATGTTCAGACAGGGCGACGCTGCATCGTCCAGGCCCATGTTTTGCGCGACATGGTGAAACCGTTGTGGTATGGTGTTGGATTGGGCTCAATTCTTGCATGGACCTTATAAAAGGTGCATAAAGGGAGTGTTAGGTATGAAGGACAGGGCTAACGCACAAGCGGTGATGCGTTATCGACAGCCATGTTCAGACAGGGCGACGCTGCATCGTCCAGGCCCATGTTTTGCGCGACATGGTGAAACCGTTGTGGTATGGTGTTGGATTGGGCTCAATTCTTGCATGGACCTTATAAAAGGTGCATAAAGGGAGTGGTATGAAGGATAGGGCTAACGCACAAGCGATGATGCGTTATCGACAGCCATGTTCAAACAGGGCGACGCTGCATCGTCCAGGCCCATGTTTTGCGCGACATGGTGAAACCGTTGTGGTATGGTGTTGGATTGGGCTCAATTCTTGCATGGACCTTATAAAAGGTGCATAAAGGGAGTGGTAGGTATGAAGGACAGGGCTAACGCACAAGCGGTGATGCGTTATCGACAGCCATGTTCAGACAGGGCGACGCTGCATCGTCCAGGCCCATGTTTTGCGCGACATGGTGAAACCGTTGTGGTATGGTGTTGGATTGGGCTCAATTCTTGCATGGACCTTATAAAAGGTGCATAAAGGGAGTGGTATGAAGGACAGGGCTAATGCACAAGCGGTGATGTGTTATCGACAGCCATGTTCAGACAGGGCGACGCTACATCGTCCAGGCCCATGTTTTGCGCGACATGGTGAAACCGTTGTGGTATGGTGTTGGATTGGGCTCAATTCTTGCATGGACCTTATAAAAGGTGCATAAAGGGAGTGGTATGAAGGACAAGGCTATCGACAGCCATGTTCAGACAGGGCGACGCTGCATCGTCCAGGCCCATGTTTTGCGCGATATGGTGAAACCGTTGTGGTATGGTGTTGGATTGGGCTCAATTCTTGCATGGACCTTATAAAAGGTGCATAAAGGGAGTGGTATGAAGGACAGGGCTAACGCACAAGCGATGATGCGTTATCGACAGCCATGTTCAAACAGGGCGACGCTGCATCGTCCAGGCCCATGTTTTGCGCGACATGGTGAAACCGTTGTGGTATGGTGTTGGATTGGGCTCAATTCTTGCATGGACCTTATAAAAGGTGCATAACAGGGCGATGCTGCATCGTCCAGGCCCATGTTTTGCGCGACATGGTGAAACCGTTGTGGTATGGTGTTGGATTGGGCTCAATTCTTGCATGGACCGTATAAAAGGTGCATAAAGGGAGTGGTATGAAGGACAGGGCTAACGCACAAGCGATGATGCGTTATCGACAGCCATGTTCTGACAGGGCGACGCTGCATCGTCCAGGCCCATGTTTTGCGCGACATGGTGAAACCGTTGTGGTATGGTGTTGGATTGGGCTCAATTCTTGCATAGACCTTATAAAAGGTGCATAAAGGGAGTGGTATGAAGGACAGGGCTAACGCACAAGCGGTGATGCGTTATCGACAGCCATGTTCAGACAGGGCGACGCTGCTTCGTCCAGGCCCATGTTTTGCGCGACATGGTGAAACCGTTGTGGTATGATGTTGGATTGGGCTCAATTCTTCCATGGACCTTATAAAAAGTGCATAAAGGGCTAACGCACAAGCGGTGATGCGTTATCGAAAGCCATGTTCTGACAGGGCGACGCTGCATTGTCCAGGCCCATGTTTTGCGCGACATGGTGAAACCGTTGTGATATGGTGTTCGATTGGGCTCAATTCTTCCATGGACCTTATAAAAGGTGCACAAAGGGAGTGGTATGAAGGACAGGGCTAACTCACAAGCGGTGATGCGTTATCGACAGCCATGTTCTGACAGGGCGAGGCTGCATCGTCCAGGCCCATGTTTTGCGCGACATGGTGAAACCGTTGTGGTATGGTGTTGGATTGGGCTTAATTCTTGCATGGACCTTATAAAAGGTGCATAAAGGGAGTGGTATGAAGGACAGGGCTAACGCACAAGCGGTGATGCGTTATCGACAGCCATGTTCAGACAGGGCGACGCTGCAACGTCCAGGCCCATGTTTTGCGCGACATGGTGAAACCGTTGTGGTATGGTGTTGGATTGGGCTCAATTCTTGCATGGACCTTATAAAAGGTGCATAAAGGGAGTGGTATGAAGGACAGGGCTAACGCACAAGCGGTGATGCGTTATCGACAGCCATGTTCAAACAGGGCGACGCTGCATCGTCCAGGCCCATGTTTTGCGCGACATGGTGAAACCGTTGTGGTATGGTGTTGGATTGGGCTCAATTCTTGCATGGACCTTATAAAAGGTGCATAAAGGGAGTGGTATCAAGGAAAGGGCTAACGCACAAGCGGTGATGCGTTATCGACAGCCATGTTCAGACAGGGCGACGCTGCATCGTCCAGGCCCATGTTTTGCGCGACATGGTGAAACCGTTGTGGTATGGTGTTGGATTGGGCTCAATTCTTGCATGGACCTCATAAAAGGTGCATAAAGGGAGTGGTATGAAGGACAGGGCTAACGCACAAGCGGTGATGCGTTATCGACAGCCATGTTCAGACAGGGCGACGCTGCATCGTCCAGGCCCATGTTTTGCGCGACATGGTGAAACCGTTGTGGTATGGTGTTGGATTGGGCTCAATTCTTGCATGGACCT